CAGATCGTGACGCAGTGCGAGGCGCGCCCGGACATCGCTCAAGTCCAGAGGACCCCTTCCGGCGGTTGGCGGAAACAAGAGTCCAGTGGGCTCCATTTCCGGCCCGGGCGCCTCTCGACACGACGCCTTTTTTGTCTTTCCGAATGAACTCGTGACGAAACGACTTCACTGAGGAATTGATTATATTTTGCCTTGCAAGAGGCGAACTGTGTTGTTGTAGTGCCTTTTGAAAAGGGTGTTCTAAAGACCTTGTGAGGTGGAAGTAGATAAATGCTACAATTTTTCTGAAAGAAAAAAAAATATGCAAGACGTTGACTATTATTTAGAGAAACTTAGACACTCGGCTCTCCTCCGAGCTGATTCTACTGAATTGTATTCCCAGTCCATAAAACTTCTGGCATCCACCTCAGAGGGTCTTTGGTACAACCCGTTTGCGCAAATATTGTTGTTGTGTTTTAGGTCTAAGGGAAAGGCTTTTGTTTCTAATGTGAATTTGTTAACTGCTTGCGGCTAATGGGACATGAAACCAAACGCTGGAGTTGTTCTTCCCTCATGTTAGGGGGCGATAAAGACAAAAAAACCGGAGCAAAATAATCGTCATCGTTGTTGGATGCAAGACGGGCTCAGTCTTCGTGACAGGATCGTGTGGAGCCCAACCGACGCAGTGCAGAGCAATGCAGAGAAATCATTGATGTCAAAACGATATCGTTTCGATGTAGATTTCGCCTTTCTGACGTTGTTTCGATATCGATTTGAAATTTTCTCACTCTTACAGTGATGCCGCGTGATTTAAAATGTTATTGGCAGGGACTTAGAGCTTGCGGTACTTTGTAGCTCAGGGAACTTCCCGGGGTGACTCAGAGCAAACTGGCTTACGTAAATCAATGGTGTTACTGAGTGAGTGTCTAGGAACAAGTCTCAATGTCTTGAAAAATATCAAGAAATATTCATTGTTAATTAAAATTTAACTTAAAGCGCATTTTGACTAAAATGTGCAATTGTTGAGAGCAGAGAAAGGCTAATTTTGTAATTGTTTGTCCGTAACTGTAAGTTACGGTACAGAAACTCGCAGTTTTGCTGGTCGCCACTCCCCAGCGTCAACTACTAAGCAGAGTGTGGCGCCGGGTGTGTAGGCCAACAAGGCATCTTGTATGGGCACCGTTACGGGCCCCGAAACAAAACGAGGGTTTCATATATGAAGGGAAATCCATATCTGCTCAGAACTGTTAATTCAGAGTATTAGTTCAAAAGAATTGTTTTTTATGCGCAAAACCCCTGTAGAAACTTAGGCGTTTGCCGGAAAGATAATTGATGTTACCATTTGTTAAGTTTTATTATCAACAGAGTCGTGTACATGTCGGTTTCACCCACGGAACTAATAATGTTAAAGTGAAGAAATGAGCAATTTCCAAACAGTGTTATACAGAGAACAAACTTAGAAAAGACAATCAAAATTCTAAAAATGCTTTCAAGTAACTTTGGAACGTTCCATGTTTACATTTTTTTGAATGAGTTGCAAATCAGAGACCCTCCAATAATTCGATTGGTGTATTATTTTTTTGCTGGAATTGATTAAAGAAAGAAATGTTTTGTATTTGTCACTATTTCAATGACATTGTAAAATAGTTGGGTTTGATAATTTTTTTCCAAACAAAACTAATGCCAAATGAACTGATCAGATGATGAAAGGCAAGCCTCAATTACTTGGTTTCGGTTTCAGATCAAGTGGGTCACTTATTATATTGAGGAGCTGTACAACATCAAGTCTCAGGGTTTCTTGAAAATCGAAAATCTTGTTGAATTTCTCGTTTTAATAAAAAATAAAATGATTCTCAATAATTGTTGATATTGTCCCTAGTGTAAAAGAGTTCGTTACGGTAGACTGTGATTTTTAATTGTGAAATAAAAGTCCTTATGATGAGTTAAATTCGCTATTATTTCAGAACCTTTATTAAATCACGTGTGGTGTTCCCTGAGAACGAGAACCAACCTACCAAGTCAAATGCGTTACGAAAGCGCGCCAAAACAAGTTTCTCATACTAGCCTCGCACCAGCCCCTCATGGATTGAGTCAGGTAAAGTGGAAAAAGGGGGTGGGGAGTGGGATCGGAGGAGGGGAGGGCGGGGAGGGGGAGACTTACTGAAGAGGAAGAAGAGACAGTCGCGTCCCGCAAGGCGGTGCGAGTGGATGTGTGGAACAAAGCACCAGGCAGGGCTGGGTTAAGTCTGCGACGTTGCCGTTTCGACGTTCGTCCGCCGGTCCCCCCGCGCCCGGGCCGTGGTCGTGGGGGATGTCGATGACGGTTGGGATGTGTTCTGGCGGACGGGATTTTCTTTCGATCGCTTTTCTTTGACTTGTCTACAATTTTTCACAATTGTTACTATTAATTGTTATGGGTGAAGCGACATTTTCAGAGAGGGAGCTTTCTTTTCACCGTAATCTCGGTATCGAAATGGGCTGGCGTGTATGGAATCCGGATCCATGTCCAGGTTAGTTTATCAATCCCCAATCTTTGCTGTTCTCATTTTAGGAATTACTGATTTTTATTTCATCAGGCTTCGACGTTTTCTAAACGAAACTTTGGATCTTCCTTCACTTCACTGCTCAAGAGAAGATTATGTATCACATAAATGAGGATGAAGGTGAAAATTTCCAGGTATGGCATGGATCTGTTTGCATTCATAATTACTTAAAGAAAGTTCACATCCCTAAGTCCATGCTCTGTTTGACTTCTTCTTTGTGCAGTGGTTCAGTCACTTAATGTGCCACATTTCTGTACAACTTGTGGTTGACACACCATGGAAGCATTACGAGGATTTCTGTTGGATCTAACACCGAGTACGTATTGTGTACCACTAAAATCGTCTGAAGTTATTGCATTTGAAATTTTAATAATAATTTTGCACTTTCGTGTTATCCATTATTTCCCTTTTTTATTTTTTCCCCCTTTAATGTATTGTTTGTTGTAATTTTTACAGGTTGAGCGTTCAACGTCCGGGGCTTAACATTTTCAATTGAAGGAGTTGCCGAGAATTGCCCTAAACATCACGGTCATGTGCTGTTATTGTTTTTTGTTTCTCTGATAGAGATAAATGAAGCCTATACTGGAGTAAGCACTCTTGCAAACAGAGTGAAAGAGTCATACATTTGTTTTCTTAAATCTATTGTGTCTAGAACAGGGAACAGAAATTCTGACTTGTGCATAATTGTGAATTGCTTGAGGGGCAGTATGAAATTGTTTTACTTAATTGACGTAAGTGTTTCATCAAATTTTGTCACTGAAAGTGTGATGGGGTATTATTTTGTAAAACGCCTTGGCCCAATTTTAAGAATTTGGAAAAAATAGTTACGTTTGTTTGTACATGGCTTCCAGTTTATTTTAATGGAAAGGTTTTGCTCTTCTTGAATGTTTTAATATGCTATAGTGCTTTAAATGAGGTGTTGTATTCCAAGATATCTTGAAAATCCTGTTTCATTCTCATTTCAGTTATTGCCCTTGTTCAGCCTTTTTTTGCCAAATTTCATTAGTGAGCCAGTTGAACCTTTTGAAACAATCAGTCTTTAACAGACTATTTACTATATGTGTTGAAAATGTTAACTCAGATTTAGCTCCTTTGCACCAGTTAAGGTTTTGTCTCTGCATTTACAGGCTGTATGTGTAACCATTAATTGATAATTTCCTCATACAGTGGAATTAGGTCCAGGGTATTTATTATCTAGTCTGATATGGTTTGTAAATGCTGCAATACATATATTTCTACACTTAGAGTAAAAAATTAAAGATTATTATTAGCGCAGCATTGCTTTTATAAAAAAAATGTGTGATCCTTCAAAGTGGATACTTGCACCATTTGATTAAATCTAATCTACTTTTTAGAAGTTTTGGTTTCTACTTAAAATAACTCTTCTTGCCTAAATTTTCAACTAGTAAAGTGTGGATGACACAATGTTTCACACAATTTGACATTTAATGTATGGAAAATTATTGCTTGCTTTGACATTTTAACTTGTGGTAGAGACATCCATTCTTACAAAATTTTGTTCTGTAAATATTTGTGAGTTTCTCTCAAATTACTTCTTGATTGTTCTCTACGAAAGGTTTACATGTTTGTTCACTTTTCGTAATTTGTGTCATACGTAAATAAATGTTTTCAAAAGTTCATAAATTACAGGAAGGATAAGCTGATTTCATGCCCCTATTCTTAATTGTACTCCAGAGATCTTGGAACAAAATTATCTCAATTTGATATCGAACAAGCTAAATGTGTACTCACATCAAAGACCTTTTTTTTTTTTTTTAAATGTATGTTTTACTGTTATTGATAACAAGTGCCTCAAGATCACGCCATTTGGACCAAGAGATGTGATACAAATTTACGTGAAAATATGTCTTTTTACCGTTCATTGCACATGCTTTGCGATAATTTTCAGTGTTGGGTGCCTCCGGATAACTTTCATCAAGCAACTCCCAAAAATGCAAGTTGTTTACAATTTCGAACGTCTGTACAATTACTTTTCAATTTCGTCATATCTGTCCCGCTTTTGCAACCAAGTGATAAATGAATTGTCAAATCGACATACTTTCGATTCCATTGCCGTTTCTCTCTGACTGGGACGGTCAAGTCTCTCCTGTCAACGGCACTTGTTTTGTGCATTGTCTTTCTCTGTCTTTCTACCTAGTCATGTGCGAGTATGACAGAGACAGACAATGCCCGGTTAAAGTTTGGAACAAGGTTTTGGCGGCTGGTGAAGGAAAGCCGGTGTTGGTGGAAGTTTCGGCCGCCTTGGGCTTTTCCTGTTTTTGTAAGTGTTTTTGTCCACCTCTGATTCCTTTTCATTAATAGACTGGTGGTAAAAGTATTCTTTTTACCTCTACAATGTATTATTTCTGATAAAGAATTCAACTTACACAGGGAATGCCAAAGTGAAGCGTTGGAGGTTAGTCCTCGTCGATAGGACTTTGTAAAATATATGTTCTTTTTCAAGCACTGCAGTGCATAATGACGGAATTATTTTGTGTCTGTATGCGTCCTGATGATGGAAAGTAAGTATGATTGTAATTTTTCTTTTGTGGTGTTCTATTGACTGCTAATTTTTTGCATTCGTAAATTACTCTTCCCTTCCAGATTTATGATAGGTTGTGATTTTTGCCCACAATGGTTCCATGGTGTATGTGTGGGCCAGTTCAGTAAGTAAACATGCGATTTGAAAAAAATCTCTTGCCTTATAGATTCTGATACTTATCTTATTTCATTGCAGGGAACAAGAAAAATCACTTATGGAAGTGTGCCATTTGCTCCTCAAAATGGACAGGGGAGTGGATTAAGGGAGAAAAAGTGTCAGGTACAGTTTTCATTTGGTTATGGTGCACAGATTATTGGTTGTTTTCTTTGTTTCCTTTTGATCATTACCTGCATGATTTATAGAATTGCAATAAGATCAAATGTTTTTTTTGTCTGAAATCGGGTTTCATTTTGTTATCTTCAGGAGGAACTTCTTCCTCTTCATCTGGTAAAGCTTCTCGCTCTTTTAGAGATCTTTCAAATAATGTCAACAAAAAGTCCGATCATACAGTATCTATTTCAATCTCGAGCTCAACTCCACAAACATCTACCATAAACAACTCTAGCAGAAATGAGGAACTGCTTGATCAGGTTAACATATCTAAAACTTATCAGGTTATCGTTTTCAGTGCTATATGAAAGAATTCTTTGATAAATTTTTGTTTTTCCAGGTTGTAAATGGTGCAATTCAAAGGACAGATGTTGAGTTTAAAGTCAAATCAGGACCATGTCCTGCAGATCTTGTGGATAGTGTAGAGGTAGAAACTGAAAATTACGATTCAAATAATGATGAAGATAAAGGCAAAGCACTTAACTCCTCAAGTTCCCTTCAGAAACTTGTTAAAAGCACAGAGAGAATATCTGGGGAGTGCAGTGCGGAACGAGCCTGTTCTTCTGGACCCAAAAATAGCATCAAAAGTGGTACGGTGTTTATTTTCAGCAACAAAACATTCCATTGCAGTGTTTACTAACAAAGTTGCCATTTCAAAACTGAAATCTGTTAAATTTTTTTGCAGGCACCACCAATGCTCAAAAAGACACAATGAGGCTGAAACATGAACAGGCTGGTATATTTTCCTCTAATATTTCGTTGTCTGGTGCCGTCAGAGAGGGTCCAACTGGTTTAGAAGTTCACTGTTCCATGAGCAATGTTTCTCCTGACAGTAGCAAGTACTGTATTAATCAGTCCCCATCACCACGAGTTCAGCCATCACTTGCTCACTCACCTCAACTATTGGGGGGGGTCACTTCTACTGGTATGTATGAATAATGTTTGAAGTCTCTTGAAACAAATTGTAATCTCTCTCAATTCAATTGTGCAATTTTTAAATAATTATTACTGTTCACTTTCAGGGTCTGCTAGGGCTAGTAAAAGTACGCCAAAAAAAAGTTCAGCTTACACATGTTTTCCGAGCAACAAGTTGGCTCCAGCTGGTAAGGGTTGCTACTTTTCAACTGTTGGTATCCTATATTTGTTTTTAATTTTGTTATTTAGGAAATCACTTTCACTTCTAGTAATAATGTTTTAATTCTCTTTCAAACAAATTATAGTCTCCTCTAGCGACCTGACCTGTGCAAATTTTTAAATGTGTTGATGGTTCACTTTGCAGGGTCTGCTGATAGTCAATGTAAGAAGCCACTTGAAAATGTACCTGTAGGACATGGATTTGTATCCTCCCCTTTAAAAATGGGTTCTGATACTGAAACTAATTTATTGGAAACTAATAAGTCTGCATCAGCAGGTGAGAACCGTCATATTTAAACTACTTTCCACAATGATTGCATCACATCTTGAGTCATCTTTCCATTGCAGTGTTTTCTTACAAAGTTGCCTTTTTCAAACTGAAATTTGCTTTTTTTTTTTTTTTTTTTTTGCAGGGACCACTTATGCTTCAAAAGACACAGTGAGGCTGAAACATGAACAGCCTGGTAAATTTCCCTCTAATATTTCGTTGTCTGGTGCCGCCAGAGGGGGTGCAACTGATTTAGAAGTTAACAGTTCCATGAGCAATGTTTCACCTGACAGTAGCATATACTGTCATAATCCATCCCCATCTCCACAGCATCAGCCATCACATGCTCACTCACCTCAACACCCT